CTAAGAATCCTGCATTCAAGACTAGGTGTGTTCCAGCTCAGCGTGCTTGTGAGCTTGAAAAGCTGGTGTCTATTCTTGTGTCTCAGCCCTAGCAGTGCAAAAAATATATAGTGGCTGGGGGCATAATTTTATGGACCTTGTGCAGTTTAAATGGAACATTTTTATGTCAAAGTCTCAGGCCTGGTGCAGAGCAAACACTCAGTAACTGGTAATTGGTATTTGACTTTCCTCAGCCTCAACGGAAGCCAGGCCAGGGACAACAGCCACTGATGTCCGGCTCTCTGACAGACCCCAAGGTGTGTGAGGAGAGCCCCAGGCACCAGGATGAGGAGAAGGCCTGAGTTGGGATTTCCCATTGCCATTAGCACACTGGGTGACATCAGGAACATCAGTTCCTCCCTTGGGCTGCAGTGATTTTCACACTGAATGTGGAGCTGCACCCCTTGTGTTGCAGTGACCCCACACAGGGGATTTGCATTTAAAATGGACACGAGTGTCAGGGCGATGGCAGCACAGGCTCTGTGCAAGAGCAGTATCTCCCTGACTGGGCACATCTTCCTGCTGCCTGCTGGGGACGCCTGAGCACAGTCTGGGAGTTTTTGGCTGAGCCTCAGGAGAGCAAGGTCGTCTTGGATTCCAGAAGGAGGCACTTGGAGCTGTGGCTCTTTGAAATGCCGCCCTGGTGCCCAGAGCTGTGTGAGCCCTGTGCACATGCTGAGTGCCTCCCAGCACCTGGGACTGTCCTTGTGGCAGCAGCAGCACTGTCCTGCCTGCCCTCCACCTTGTGTCCATGGCACTTAGGCACGTTCTTTTTTCATGGCCCCCTTCATCCCACTTTCTTCTGTGAACGGTTACAAAAGTGCACACCACTTCTGCCAGCCCTGATTATGACCTCATCTCAGGGAGTGTTGTCTCTTCATTTTCGGAGTCAACCATGCCCTCAGGACTCGAGACCCAAGCAGGGCCACCTCTGGAGGACAAGCGGCTCTCAGAGATCCGGAGGCTGCAGAAAGAGCTGGAGCATGTATCCAGGCAGCTTCACAAACAAAAGAAAACAAATGAGATCCTGCATAACAAATACCTGGATCACAGAAGTGGCTGAGACAGGTGGAGGTCAAGGCAGAGCTCTGGGTCTCAAGGGAAGAGGAGCAGAGGACCATCATGCAGCGCCTGGAGAGTGAGCAAAACAATCCTGAGCTTGCTCATAGAGAACCAGCTGAAGTTGAGCTTTGGAAGGTTGGTGCACGCTGGGCTCCTCACTGCCTCTTCCTTCAGGGCAGAGAAACACATGTAGCCCTCTGGGTCTTCCCCCTCACACACACATTCACAATAAAATGGGCCACTGTAGCCCTCACTGGTCAAGGTACCTTCTGAGCCAGAACTGTGCTCAGTCACACTGAATGTGCAGCTGCACCCCTCGTGTTGCAGTGACCCCTTCCGAGGGACTCTGCGTTTCCAATGGACACGTGAGTCAAGGCCGTGTCAGCACAGGCTCTGTGAGAGAAGAGCGCCTCCGTGACTGGGCACATCTTCCTGCCGCCACCTGGGGACGTCTCAGCTCACAGTCTGGGCACTCTTGCTGAGCTGCAGGTAGAGCAAAGGTCCACTTGGAGTTTGGAAGCAGGTGGGCAGTCCCTGTTTGGAGCTTTAGCTATTTGAAATGCCACCATGGCTCTGGGCGCTGAAGTAGATTTGTGCGCATGCCCAGTGCCTCCCAGCACCTCTGACTGTCCTTCTGACAGCAGCAACACTGTCCTGCCTGCCCCCACCTTGTGCCAATGGCACTTAAGCAACTTCTTTCCTTCAAGGCCCCTTTAAGCCCACTTTCTTCCATGATGGGCAACGAAAATGCACACTGCTTCTGCAAGCCCCAATGAGCACATCCTATCAGCTGGTGGTGACAGAATGAAGCCACGTGTCTACCTGGGACCTGGCATGGGGATCCCACAGTGAGGCTTTTCTCTCAGGTCTGGGGAAGTAGGAGGAAGTGGGAGTGAGCTTGGCTCAGGCCCCCTGGGTGATTCTTACTGGAAGTGGAATCCTCACCTCTTACTTTTGTCTCTGAACAGAGCCATGATGCTGCCAGGGCCCCCAAGCTCATTGCTGAGATCAAGTGAGTGTGTCCTACTGGGGCAAGAAACACCTAGGCTGAGGGGCATCACCCACTGCCCATGCGCCTCTTCCCCATTCAGCCACTGCACCCCTGACCCTGGGTCTTCACCCCTAGGAATTTCTCTAGGACCCAGCTCCCAATACTCAAATCTGAGGCACCACAGACTGGGGCCAGAAGTGGGCAGATGGGAAGGGTACTGGGATGGTAGATGTGTCTGATGTCACCAGTCCCTCCCTGCATCTGCTGTCCCCCTGTGCTTTGGACAGGTGTGCAACTTAGAGGAGGAGAAGGAGGAGCATGACAGGAACATCCACGAGCTGGATGTCACCTTGGAATTACTAGAGAAACGGATGGGTGAGTGGGGACAATGTTGAGGGGTTTTGTGTCCACTACCAACCACTACCCAGTCACCATATGGGAAAGTGGCTTCAAGCCTGGCCGTCATGTGTGTTTGAGGATCATTAATCAGGAAGCCAAGGCTCAGGCAGGGAGTCTGAACCAGGGCTTCAGCACTGAGGAGCTTGTTGAGGGGCCAGAGGCCCAGACCCTTACCGCTGCTTCCTTTCTCACCTGTGCCCCCAGCCCTGGAGCCCTCAGCGGGGCCATCTGAGGAGGAACGGTGGCTGTTGTGTGAGCTCTAGTGGTTGCAGAAGGAGCTGGAACTCATCTCAGGACAGTTCCACAACAAGTACAGGTAAATCCGAGTCTGTGTGAGAAGAACTGAGAGCAGGAGGAGCAGCTGCATCATGTGGACTACAAGGCAGAGCTGTGGCCCCCACAGCTGGAGGAGGACAGGAACATCCTGCAGCACATCCAGAACAGCACAATACCATCTGATGCTTATTCGTGCAGAACCAGGAGCTCAAGGTGCAGCTGGTCCAGAAGAAGTTTGACTTCCTAAGGCTGGTGCGGGGCCTCCAATCACTGGGCTCCTCACTGCTAGGTCCTTCACAGCGGAGCATCATACTTGCCCCTCTGGGTGCTTCCCAGTCCAATATAATGGATCACTGTAGCCCTCCATTGTGAAGGTGTCCTGGGAGCCAGAATGCTGCTGGAGCATCTTCTGGTGACAGGGTTGATTGTCCATCCTGCCCTGAACTATGGACAATCAAATTGGGGTCCTGGGTCTGGCTGTGTGGGTGGCACTGACTACCATTGTCTGTAGAGAAAAGACAACATCAACATGACAAGCAGCCTGTAGTCAGAGCAGCTTGAGAGGAAGGAGCTGGCCAGGAACAGGGCCAGCTGCAGGAGGAGCTGAGGGAACTCACAGCAGTGGTAACTCCTGTCCCAGGGGACTAGGCTAGGACAGAAGTAGCACCCCTGGTGAGGGGAGGTGCTGGGACCAGCACTGATCTTCCCCAGCTGGGGGATAAGTGATCTCAGAGTCCTGCAGTGCTTGGCAGAGCAGTTCTGAGTGTTTCTTGCTCCAAGCCTCTGCCTGTTAGAGGGCGGTGGCCCTGGGCTCCTCCCAGGTCCTGATGTCCTTTCCGTGCGAGAGGCCCGAGACCCCCTCATCCTAGGAGAGGACAGGGTCTGAGGGAGGCTCCTTGGGTTCACACTGGACTCAAATGTCAGGTGCACTCTCCCAGTTGCAAAGCTTCCTATCACCATGCCTCAGCTCGCATCCCTTCAAAAGGATGTTAGCCTTTGCTTCATGGAGTTTCTGGCTTAAAGGACATAATGTGTGTAAAGCACTGGATGCTAGAAGATTGTTCTTAACACATGCAGGTTGTCTCCATCTGATCATTCACAGGTGCATTCTAAAGTCTGAGTATTGTGAAAGGATGTTCTGAGGCTTGAGGCTGGGTGCAGAAGCCAGCAGTCCTGAGTGGCCCCACGGCATTTCTGAACTCAAGCTGCAAGAGACTTAGGAGATGGAGCTGCTGAGGCAGGGCCCCTGCCTTTGAGCACCTGGCTGCCTCTGACTTCTCACTTTCCCTTCTACCTCTAGGAGGTCCTGGGAGCCTCCGGGCTGCTGAGTCAGCAGCCAGCCCCGCTCAGAGTCCTGGACCCGCCCGGGGAAGGTGAGTGCAGATGTCCAGGGACAGGCTGGGCTGAGGAGCAATCTGAGAAAGAGAGTTGAGGAGGAAGAGGCATTAGAGAGCTGCCCATTCTCTCCCAGAAGATGGCGGCCCAGGGTGATCTGACAGGGTGGTTGTGGGGGCTCTGGGACTGCTCTGATTCCCTTGTGGGGCTCACTGGGGACCCTCTTGGCTGCTCCCAATATCAAATGAAAGGGACATGGAGGAGAGGAATACAGAGACTCCTCCGTCCCACACCACCAGCCCTGAGGACACGGGCAGCTAGGAGGCCATGGTGAGCCTGACTCTGTGTTATCACTTCCCTGCGTCACCTTCCCTGCCTTTTGCTGTGGTCCCTTCGGACACCCCAATGCCTCGGTCCCCCGGTCCCCTATTTCCCTGGACCTCACACCTTCACTGGGACACAGTGGTCACAAGCATCCCCTAGGAACAAGAGGTGCCAGTGGCAGACGGGAGGCTCCTTTCTGCTTCTTGCGCCCCCCTCATCCGGAGCAGTCCGCACACAGAAACTCACCCCACCTCTGCAGATGGCATTTTTTTACTGAAGGTCGTTTTGTACAAATGAATGGTTTCTGCCTAGAACCGTCAAACGGTAAACCGTTAAACTGTTAAACGGTTGGGAAGGGAGGTTCCGAGGCTTGAGGCTGGGTGCAGAGGCCAGGAGGACCCTTTCATGGTTTAATGGTTTCTGTTTAACAGTAAAAAACAAAGGTTCCTCCCCCAGAAAAGAGGGCTCAGCTGTCCCAGGAGCGGAGAGTGCACAGGTTCAATCTCCATGAGCAGTGCTGACCATGTGGCTATAGTGAAGCTGCAGAGGAGTCTGTCTGACATGGCCGGGAAGGGTTGGCAGGGCAGGTGACCACCGAGCCCTGACAATGTGCTCTGCCTCCTTTTGGTAGGGGTCTTGCAGGAGAAGGCCAGGATCAAAGAGAAGTGCAGGAGCTGGGACATCATGGCCTGCGGCTGTGTGGCATTTCTAGCACTATTGGTGAGCTGGGTGAAGGCCCGACTTGTAGTTTGGGGTTTTGTAAGGGGAACAATACCATACATGACACTTAAGTGTGAGACTGTTTTAAATATTCACCCAAAGAGTCATATACAAAAAGAGTGGAGGAAATCTGTCCACACACTAAAGGGCAAAGTCCAGCTGAGGGCCTGGATCCATTGGACATGTACTGCATAAGTCCAGCTGCAGACTTAGAGCCTCCCATGAGTCCAGCTGGAGCCCAAGAGCCCAAAACCGTCTCTTGCAGGCCTGTTTCATGGATCTGTGCTGGGAAGACCCAAAGCTCAGAGGTGAAAGCTAGAAAGTCTGTGCCAGCAGGATGAAGGATCTGTGCTAGCAGGCTGAGGGATCTGAACTGGAGTCAGGAAACAACGCTCAGAGTAAGACCCGGAGCTCCCCTGAAAATACCACAGCAACACTCAGCAATATTGAGGTCCCGAGCTTCTCCGATGATGACAGCAGCTGAGTTCCCATCAGGAAAGTCAACGGGGCAAGTTTCTCCAGGCAACTGAGCAGTGCACCATCTTCCCCTCCAGTGCCAGGCAGCGATGCTCAAAGTGAGGACCACAGGGAGGTGTAGCCATTGTCAGGGACAGTAAGGTCCTGAGCTCTATTGATGATAAGAACAGCTGAGTTCATCAGGAAAACCAGCATGAGAAACTCCTCCTGGAAAACCCACAGGTCCCTACACCTTCCTCAACAGCTTCCAAACCACTTCTAAATTTCTTCCTTTCCAGTTCTGCCTCTTATGCTGCCAGCAACAATCCTCAGGTGGGCCTCCCACACCCAGCACCACACTGGTTGTTTGGCTGGGTGTTACAGTTGACCTCCAGTTGTCAATCTGCCACCGGCCAGGCAGCAGAGCCTGTAAAATGTGGGAACTGGGGAGGCCTGCCAGTGACCTGTGAGTGCTGTCCTCCTCGCCATAGCAGAGCACACCGCATGTGCCCCAAACAGGGGACAATCCTAAAGACGAAGCACTGTGGAGGAGGAGGGCCAGTGTTTCAGGCAACTATTCCCAGTGAAGGCCGAGGTGCAGGCAGGCACGGACAACTCCGCAGGCTGGCTCGGGGTGGACACTGAGCCCCTCTCCCTCTGGGTAAAGCTGTTGTGCTGAAGGAGCTGGTGTTGCCACTGCAGGACGATGGCAGGTCCTGTGAGGGCACGTTTATAGCAGCGGCACAGAGCCATGGAGCGGAGCCCACGGCACGGTCCACAGATGCAGAGGATATTGCAGCCAAGGAGCGTGGTGGGCGGGGTCCTGGGAGGGACGGCAAAGGGAGGTGGCGGGCAGGCCGCACAGCACTCGGTGCCTGCTGCTCTCTCTCCTCAGACGCAGCAGAGAGGAGCCCTGTGCACACTGAGGAGCCAGCAGGAGAAGAGGCCGGGACAGCGTCCTGCACAGAAGCCCAGCTGCCTGAGCGGAGAATCCCAGCAGGACCCTGGCTTGCGCCTTCACCCCTGCGTGCAACACTTGGTTTCCCTCTGGCACAGGCTGAGGAGGAGAAAACCATGGAACCTAATTTGATCTAAAGAATTCTCCAGCAAAGCCTGGAGAAGTGGGGTCAGAGGTCTGTCCCCACTGCTCCCCCATTCAGTTCCTGCCCCCGTCCCTCTCCTCCTTCTTGTCTCCCTGCTATCTCCAGAAAAGCAAGATAAACTCCACACATTGATTGTTCACTAAAAATATTTTATTTCCAAAAGTATCAAAAATCATGTAAAATAACTCTGAAGTTATTGCAAGCTGAGCGGGCCTGCAATACCCAAGCAAGTGGACGACGAAGGCTGAAGTGAATGCAGACAGTGATGACGATTTTAGGGCTCCAGGAGGGTCTAACTCTCTTACAGCTTCAGTATTCTCTGAGTTAGCCCAAGACTGCTCTGGGCGACCCATATTTATTTGGTTTACAAACGAAGGAGGGGGAATACTGAGGAATATACAGGAATCTGGGCAGGACTTGGGAATCCTTTAAGGACTCCTTCAGGTAATATAGTGTGTTCATTTAGGAGAACTATGTTCTCTCCAGGAAGGCCTTCACAGCAGGAGTGAGATGCCTGCAGCTGCAGTCTCCTTGTCATGAGTTGGGGTGGCAGACAAGGTGCCGAAGCTTCAGACAACTCACAAGGAAACACCGAAAGCTAATTGGTTAATATTAAATCCTGCTCAGAGGCACTTTGTAGTGGTCTCCAACACAAAAGATGTGAAAAATTTCGAAAAATAAAGAAGTCAAGATATTTACATAACAATGAAAAAAGAAGAAATTTAAACAAAAAATTTAAATGTTTTGAATTTTAAAACATTATTTATGGTTCAGAAGGGCAAAGGAGGAGATGGGGATGGGGTCTTCCTGACCTAGTCTTCTGGGTCCTGTTTACTTTCATTTTCATTGCGTGGGAATAAATGGAGTCCTTCACCTTCCTGGCCTAGCCTGCTCCTGGGATGGAGGGGCAAGGAGCAGGCAAGGAGCAGGGAGCGGGTCCCGCCAGCAGAGGGTGTGCTTTGGGCTGTGCAGAATCCCATGTCTGAGGTGGTCCAGCGGGGTGGGGTGGCACCTCCCTGCCCTGTCACCTGGATGCTACTCAGGCATGGCGGGGGGACTGCCCTGGGGACATGCGCAAAATGCAGACAAGTTCTTTTTGCCAGAATGTAACATGCACAGTCTTTAGCCCAATTCCCAGGAGTCCCCATCTGAGACCTCCTGAGCCTTGGCTTTCCTGTCTGCATCTTGTCAGCATTCTGGTCTTCTGAGATTCACTCAGAAATACCCACTAGGCTCTGCTTATGGCATTCTAGGGATCCTCCAGCACAGATCTGCTCACCTCCTCAAATCCATCCCCTAAACC